AAGTCATTCAATCAAAGTTGCCTAAAAGAGCCCTTTTTGTTTTTATTTTTGTTGTGTGTGTCCAGGATTTAGAAGAATTCTGCTTTAAGTTTTGCATCAATCATTTGACAGAAGTTACACAGACTGCAGCATTTTGGCAAATGGATGGCCCTCTGCTAAAGGAATTCATTGCTAAAGCCAGTAAATGTGGAGCCTTTAAGAACTGAAGCGCAAGGCTGCTGGGTTCTGTGTGAGTGCTCTGGGGCACTGTTGAGGATGTGTCCAGTTTGTGCTCTGCGGGTGATGTAATTCTGCAGGTAAAAGACCATCAGGTTGTGTTTTTCCACATCTGGGACACAGCTGTCTGTGTAGGAACATATCAGGGGTGTACGGCTGTTCTTGAGCCCATTTTAAACTCTTGTTTCCAGATAAGTGTATTTTAAATGTGACCTTTCTTTAATTTGGGCTGGAACAAGTAAGAGTAAAAGTTTAGTCGTTTTTGGTTTTGCTTTCATTTTTGATTGGAGGAACTAATGAAATTGGAAAGAGGAAGTTGGCAGCCACTCTCCTGGGCCACATATCAATAATCTTCTGACACCAGGAGCGGTGATAGGGAATTGTGAGAGGAATGGAGAAGCCCCATCGTGAATTAAAGATGCTGACCTGCGGCTTGTTAAATGCTGCCTTAGTGGCTGGCTAGCTTAGTAGCCTTACTGTGAAGGAATAATTAAGATAGTTTCAGACATTTGTTTGTGTGCCTGAGTTATTGATGACTTTTTTTAACTTTAAGGTATTTCAAAGTAATATTCAGTTTAATATAAGTTAAACCTATTGAAGTTATAATTATGTAAAGATACAGTTTTGGGGTTAGCCAAGATTTCTCTTAAGATTTAAGTGCATAAAGAGTAGTAATTTAGAAGTATCCGTGAAACATTGATAATGAAATTTGATGAAGGTGAATATTTTATAAATTAGAATCTCCACTGCTTATCCAATGGTGTTTTATTTCATTAAGGTAGAATTTGAGAACTCAAGTTTAAATTGTCCCCCTGATCTTCTTCTATAAATGCAAACTTAAGAGGAAAATAATGATGTATATAGTATACTCTTGCCTTCCTAAATTATGGCTGCTAAGTCATCATATCTACTATATATGACTGAGAGAAGTGGTTCTTCAAGTCAACTCTTTTGCAGGACTTAATGGAATTTGCTTTATCTACTTTAGGCCAAATCCATTACACATTGGCTGATTTGAAACTTTATCACCTTTCACTTGGTTTTCCTCTGTTTTTAATCATCTTAGGTATGACATTTAGCACAATTTCACCTTGAAAAAGCATCAAAATTACAGTGTTCCTGAAGAGATCCTATTAAAAGAGTTTTTTGAACTGGTTATCAAAGGTAACTTTGGGATGTAAAAGTGAGTTTCATCATGTGTGTCTATTGAGCTTAAGAACAATGTTTTGCTTTGCTCTCTGGTCCATGAACTCATTTCCATTTGAGTGAGCTCCCTTAATGAATTCATTTTTCCACTTGGAAGGTCTCTCTTCTGAACTCAGCTGGAATACATTTTCAGAGCTAAATTACAAGTGGTTGAAGACATGCTGCAGCTACTATTTTTAGCAATTTTTAAAATGTGTGTCTATTGGGGTGGGAAGGGGAGTGAGGCCCCCAAGTTAGGAATTCATTGAGAGCTGAAATATATACAAGCCTAGTAGCCCCACCCCACTTTTCTTGACCATATTACAGGTGATTGAAGCCCAGTGAGTTGTTTGGTTGGAATTGGTTCTGCAACATGATAGAACTTTTTTTTACTAAGTTCAGAAATGGACATTGATTTGTGCTATGATGGGTGGTATTTGTAACAATCACTGTTCTATAGGCTTATGATCTGAGCAAAATGAGAACTTCAGTGTGTTTACTATTGCTCTTACTTGAAAAAAACTTTTTCAAAAAAAGCACAAATTAGTCTATTCATATCTATAGATAGTTCACTCATTCAACAAATATTTACCAAGTTCCTAATAAGTGAAGGACCACTTCTCAGATTACTAAATAATTTGTATGAGTGTATGTGGCAGTGAAGAGAACAAGTCCTTCAAAAAACATTTGATTATCTTTTTGTTTTTAACACACACTCTTATTTTTCTACTTGGTTTTGTTGTTGATCATAGCAGGATATGACAACTCTTCATCTAATGTAATAATGGAAGCCAAAGTGTTCATATTTCTTAAGGTAGCCCTAAATGTACTCTTGAAATTCTTACTGGAACAGTGTTTGATACTCTAGTATATAGGCTGTATTCATGTAATGTTTAGAATGACACGTTAATAAAGTAGAATTAAAAAATGTAGAGTTGTTTCTTTTCCTCAAAATCAGTAGTATGCAGCCCTAAAAAGAAAAGATATTCTGACACATGGTCCACATAGATGAACTGAGGACATTATGCTGAGTGAAATAAGCCAGTCACAGACAAATACTATGTGATGCCACTTGTGTGATGTACTTAGTGAAATTTATAGAGATATAGTAGAATGGTTATTGCCAGAGTTGGAGGGTAGAGGAGAATGAGGAACTTATTTAATGGATACAGAGTTTCAGTTTTGCAAGATAAAAACAGTCCTTTAGGTCAGGGTTCCCCAACCCTTAAGCCACAGACTTATATTGGTCCCTGGCTTGTTAGGAAGAGGCCACACAGTGGGAGGTGAGTGGTGGGTGAGTATTACCACCTGAGCTCTGCCTCCTGTCAGATCAGTGGCAACATGAGAACATTAGATTCTCATAGGAGTCCAAACCCTACTGTGAACTGAGTATGCAAGGGATCTAGGCTGCATGCTCTAAGAATCTAATGCCTGATGATCTGACATGGAACAGTTTTGTCCCAAAACCATCCTCCCCACCCTCCCACCGCACCAACCTTCCTACCCCTGCTGTCTGTGGAAAAATTGTCTTCCACAAAACTAGTGCCTGGTGCCAAAAGGGTTGGGGACTGCTGCTTTAGGTGGATGGTGGTGACGGTGGCACAAAAATGAATATATTTAATGCCACTGAAGCATACACTTAAATATGATTGGGATGGCAAATCACTTAGGTAGTGTGATTCTTAACAGGTAATGAGAGAAAACCAAATAGGATGATATGGTTTGGCTCTGTGTCCCCACCCAAATCTCATCTTGAATTGTAATCCTCAGGTGTTGAGGGAGAGGCCTGTTGGGAGGTGATTGGATTATGGGGCTATTTTCCCCCATGCTGTTCTCATGCTAGTGAGGGAGTTCTTTCAAGATTTGATGGTTTTATAAATGGCAGTTTCCACCTGGACTATGTGTACTCTTGCTCGCTGGCCACCATGTAAGACGTGCCTCTTCCACTTCTGCCACAATTGTGTTTCTTGAGGCCTCTCTAGACATGCAGAACTGTGAGTCCATTAAACCTTTTTCCTTTATAAATTACTCAGTCTCTGGTATTTCTTTATAGCAGTGTAAAAACAGACTAATACAGTAATAGGGTTAACATGACAAGCAGTTGTTCTGAAGGTAACACTTGTGTTGGGTAGGAGAACATATAAAGTGTCCTTTTAGCTCATCTCCAAAACAGAACAAGCAAAGGCTTAGAGATGGGGGCTACTGAGTCTACCAGAACTTACCATAATCAAGTTTGGTTAGAATGGAGAACGTAAGCCAGAAATGTTGGCAATGGGGTGTGTGTGTGTGTGTGTGTGTGCGCGCGCACACACACATGCATGTGTTTTATTTCCCACAATAACAGACGTTGCGCTCTCTGCTTCACATTTTATTTACTGTCTATATTTTGTCTCATAAGGTAGGCAGCATTATTCTCAGATTAAATAATTGGATTTAAGTTTCTCAGTAGTGACATAGCTGAAGTTCATACTTGGGTCCACCTTAGTAGTTTGCCCAGTATGTGCTGGCCTCATGGCCACCAAACACATGGTACTCCATGGTGCAGTTACCTACTGCAGTGAGTCACAGATTAAAATCAAAGTTAAGTTGGTGACAAAGGTGCTTTTTTTTTTTTTTAGATGGAGTTTTGTTCTTATTGCCCAGGCTGGAATACAGTGGCATATTCTCGACTCACTGCAACCTCTGCCTCCTGGTTCAAGCGATTTTCCTGCTTCAGCCTCCTGAGTAGCTGGGACTACAGGTGTGTGCCACCACACCTGGCCAATTTTTTGTATTTTTAGTAGAGATGGGGTTTCACCATGTTAGCCAGGGTGGTCTCAATTTCCTGATCTTGTGATCTGGCCACCTCAGCCTCCAAAAGTTCTAGGATTACAGGCGTGAGCCACCATGCCCAGCAGGTTTTTTTAAAAAATAAAGATCATGACATCAAAATGATTAGTGAGATAAACTTTGCTAAGATAAAATGTCAGGATAGGAAGCTGATGAGATAAACTTTGCTAAGATATAATGTCAGGATAGGAAGCTGAAGCTACAGTAATTATCTAGACTAGGGGAAATCTATTCAGAGGGTCTTGGGTAAGGTCTTCACCTCTGCCCCACATGATTCTGATGTGCAGCCAGTTTTGAAATCCACTGGTTTAGATTTTGTCCCTAAGATAATAAGAACTTAATCTAGGGCTGCCATTACAACAGAAATGAAATGTTTTTTATTTCCTGCAAATAATTTTCAAGTACTTATTTATTACATGTCAGACACCATGCTGGAGACTCAGTTCAAACCCATTTTGAGATGTATTGCAAATCAGAGCACCATGGTAAAAAATGAGAACTGTGAATGTGACGTTTTCAGGGGTCAGATGTGATGTGGTGGTATGGGTATAAAAACTGGAATAGTATATTGTTAGGTTGAGAAAAATGTAACTATCATCAATTTTTTTTTTCATTCTTACATACTCCTAGTAATGTTCTTTGATTCAGAGTCCAGTTTAAAATTTAGGTGTTTGTTTTGAAGATGATGAATTCCCATGTGGTAACTATGGCTGAAAAGAGTTTTTCAAAAGCAGACTTTGTGACGTGAAGTAAGGCAAATTTAGTACAAGTACTGTATCCAAATTTATTATATCTAAGAGGCGTCGTGGGCTGTAACTAGACTCCAAGGTGAAGCACATTTACGCACTTATTTCACAAACATTTACTGAGCATACTAGGTTCTGGGAACGTGATAGCGAGTGGAAAACGCAAGTAAGAGTGTGCAGAACACGGGAAGAGTGATCGAAATGTCAGCCAGCAAGAACGGGAGCGCTGCCGGGCCGAGAAGAGAGGACCAGTTCTGCAGATGTGTGGACTTCACAGCCTGCTCTCTGGTTTTGAGCCTGAGTGAAATTTGGCCTGACTCCTGGCTTAGGAAATGGTAATCCCTAAGACGACAGGGACGATATTGATGTAGAACTTGACATAGGCTCTCTACTTTCTTGAAGAGAGCACAAGGTTTGTTTTAAGTCATGAAGTAGCTCAATCTCTTCCTTCAACTGCTGCCGCCTTTGTTGAGATGTGTCAATTTTTTTCTCTATTGCTGTGAAAAGAAAGTGATTTCACATTATTCAGTAGTTTTATCAGACATAATGTACCATTTCTAGCCTCTTTCACTTGCAAGTGCAGATACACAATCCTCATGCCTCTAATAGAAAGGATCAGAGCCTTATGGGCAGGAGCTGGTTTCTTTATGTCTTCACTTCCTCCTCCTAATTCAAGGCAGAATTCTAACATTTATCACACACAAAGCTGCTCAGTAAACACTTAAGATTTTGTGTACATTTATAGCAGAACAAGTCCCTTTGTATATCTTTGAGAACTTGAAAACAGTGACTGTATAGCCTTCATGCTATATACTATATCCATTTATTGAGAGATGATGATAATTGGAAAATGTGGCTGGAATACCAAGTTTAAGGACAAATCCTTCCTAAAAATTCACCAGTTCTTAATGTTAGATAAAAGCTTTTGGTTTCATTTAGAAATAGGAAAGGCTTTGAACTGTGGAAACTCAGAAAAGCTTAGGAGGAAGATACTTGGGCTTTACAAATAACAAATAGTATGCAATGGCAATGTAATTTTTAAAAGCCTCAAAATCGGACAGTTAAACCTTTCTTCAGAATAACTGCATGCCTATAGTTAACTAACATTAGTAAGGCTAAATTAAGCAAGTTTTTATCAACTGGGGTATCAAAACCCAGCTTAAGCCTTTTAAGTTGAATCTCATGCAGTTCCAAGTAGTGGCACCCCCTCCATACTATATTGTAATACATGTACTCCCACCTGACCCATCCAAATAGTGATGTGCAACATGTTCCCTTACATGAAAGAAAAACACATGGAAATCCCCTAGAAATGGACACTTTTTAGAAAAATATTTTTAAGCCTGCTTTAAAAAAATATGGAAAATGCTATATATTAACAGACATCCTCAAAAGACTGTTTTAGAACAGGCTTGTGCCTGTAATCCCAGAACTTTGGGAGGCTGAGGCAGTTGGATGATGAGGTTTGAGACAAGCCTGGCCAACATGGGGAAACCCCATCTCTACTAAAGATATAAAAAATTAGCCAGGCGTGGTGGCACACGCCTGTAACCCCAGCTACTCTGGAAGCCAAGGCAGGAGAATCGCTTGAACCTAAGGAGCGGAGGTTGCAGTGAGCTGAGATCATGCCATTTCACTGCAGTCTGGGCAACAGAGCATGACTCCATCTCAAAAAAACAAAAACAACAACAACAAACTGTTAGACACTATCTTTGGTAGATTTTCCAGTGTTTTTCCTGCTGGTTATAAGTGTAGTAAACAATTCAATTAGAAATGAATAATACAGAAAGACAAAATGAGAAAGGTTGTACATGTTGAGATAGGGATATGGACTAATGTTTTCTTCACAGGGAAATCCTATTGTCTTCCTACCATATGCTGGAGAGAGAGATACATCTGTGGAAAAGAAGTGTGGAGGGCACTCTTTTGCGCAGCTTCAGGGGGAACCATCCACAGCAATGCTGTGTGACTCTGTGCACAGCCTGCCCAGCTGTGTGTGGCAGCCTTGATAGAGAAGTCAGACCAGACTCATAAACAAGTGGAAGTATAGCCTGTCTTGAGGGCATCCTAAACGATGCTAAAAGGGGGACTCACTCAATAAATGGTTACTATTTAATAGGAAGGTTAAATCTCCCTCCTCCAACCCCTACTAGATTTTCTATTGCAAACATTTCTTGGCTATTCTTGCTTGCTGGTTTTTTTTTTTTTTTCCTGATGAACTTTAAATCAGTTGCAACCCTCCCTGATAAGAAGTTATATTAGATTTGAAGATTAATTTTGGGAGAATTGAAATTTTGACCTATCTCACCAAGCGAGAGGGAGGCAAGTGAAGGAATGGTGTATCATAGTTTTGCCACCCAGGAGCAGAGAAGCCTCAGGAAGCTTCACCAGCTCCTGCGTGGGCCACACACAGGCAAAAATATTCTCCAGTTTTGGAATCAATTTTTTGTTGTCTCTACTTTTTAAATGAGTTTTTCTCATTACAAAAATATTTGTGTGTATATAGAAAACCTGGAAAATACAGCACTAAAAGAACAGACAAAAATCACTATAATCTAACTACCTACAACCAACTACTGTCTCCACCAGGTATACCTTTTGTCTGTGCCCATGTACCTATGTATTTTTTTTTTCCTCTATGTTTGTGGGGATGGGAGAGCTCATACTGTTACTGTAATGGACTTTTCTCATTTAAGAAAACAATAAACATTCTTCTAAAATATTTTTATCACCTGTATAGTATATTGTTTCAATATCATGATAAATATTTCTCAACTATGCTGCTTAGATATTATGTAACTCATTTACCTGCTTGAAAATTTTCAAATGTGTCTTCGAACAATCTGCATTCAAAAAGTGCACTCCCGATTTCTTCATAGTCTGGAGGGAGAAAATCATTTTCAGTATTAAACAGTTTATATAAGTAGAAACTCCTCCATTTATATATGTAATCCAAAACAGGGGAAAGGAAAGATAGCAGTCATCTACCGTGGAATTTTAATGTTAGATGGCAGCGGCAGCAGTACAGGAAAGCTGTCAGAAATGTCCATTCTTGGCATTTCTTTTTTTGAGATAGAATCTCACTCTGCCACCCAGGCTGGAGTGCAGTGGTTCAATCTCGGCTCACTGCAAACTCTGCTTCCTGGGTTCAAGCGAGTCTTACATCTCAGCCTCCCAAGTAGTTGGGATTGCAGGTGTACACCACCACACCCAGCTAATTTTTGTATTTTTAGTAGGTGGTGCCGGAATGTGCTGATCTCAGATTATCCGCCCACCTCAGGCTCCCAAAGTGCTGGGATTACAGGCTTGAGCCACTGTGCCTGGCCCCCAGTTCTTGGCATTTGTACTGGATCAGAATCTCTGTAGGCTAGGCCCAGCTATTTGGGTCCTCACAAGCCCTACCGGTGATTTTCAGGAACACTGTTTGGGAAGTGCTTGGTCTAGAGAAAATAAATGAATAAAATAGTATAATAAATGAACTCTTGGAAATGTTTACTATTAATATCACTTTTTGGTTTTGCCTTATAGAAAATAATACCATTCAAATAAACATTTTTTACATTGTTGCCTACAGTATAAGCTGTCCAGCTTGTCCTTGTAAAACAACTATATTTACAATAAAGGTTTTTTTTTGAGACAGTCTCTGTCGCCCAGGCTGGAGTGTAGTGGTGCGACCTCGGCTCACTGCAACCTTGACCTCCTGGATTCAAGCAGTTCTCTGCCTCAGCCTCCTGAGTAGCTGGGTTTACAGGCGCCTGCCACCAGGCCTGGCTAGCTAAGTTTTATATTTTGAGAGATGGGTTTCACCATGTTGGCCAGGCTGCTCTTGAACTTCTGACCTCGTGATCTGCCTGCCTTGGCCTCACAAAGTGCTGGGATTACAGGTGTGAGCCATCATGCCCGGCCTATAATAAAGCTTTTAAACTTGTGGGATATAAGTTATAAGAAGGCTAAGTAAGGCTGAATGCAGTGGCTTACTCCTGTAATCTTAGCACTTTGCGAGGCCAAGGTGGCGAGATCACTTGAGGTCAGGAGTTCAAGACCAGCCTGGTCAATATGGTGAAACTCCATTTCTACTAAAAATACAAAAATTAGCCAGGCATGGTGGCACATGCCTGTAATCCCACTACTCCAGAGGCTGAGGCAGGAGAATCACTTAAACCCTGGAGGTGGAGGCTGCAATGAGCTGAGATCGTGTCACTGCACTTCAGCCTGAGAGACAGAGCGAGACTCCGTCCCCACCCCCCCCCAAAAAAAAGCTAAGTAGCTATATACCTGCAGGTACAAATAGAACTTTGGCTGCCCCAAGAGCTCTTTAAGAAAAACTTCTTGAACAAAGTTCATCTTTAAACCTAACATCAAAACGTTAAAATTCCTTTTAAACTTTGAGTTAACATTATTTAATAAAGGATACTTGGGTTATTAAGGAATAGAATTTGAGTCAAATCAAAACTGCACCATAACACTGTTCTCAGATCTTAGCAACAGGAGGGCAGGGCGGTGGCAGGAGAGCATATGTGACCAAATCAATCTCTGGATGGCACATTCTCTTAGTGGCCAACCTGTTAAACACCTCTGGAAAATGGACCACAACTCTCACAGCACCAGGGTACTTCTGACTAAATTACTTAGTTTGTAAATTATCCACATCCTGTTGATTTATGAAGGACAGTAGATCTGGTACAATGATTTCATTAAAGAATGAGGTAAAGAAGAAGAAGAAAGCAGTATAGGAAGAAAATGGGTCTTCCCCCCCGCCTTGGGTTTCTTTTGTTTTACACCTAGGTCTGGGAGAAGTCTCCATACTTAGAAATATTGCTATTCATCAGTACCTGCTTCTGAAGTAGTCTCATCCATGAGTTTTTCTGGAATTGAATGAACTTTGTCTAATATTTCTTCAAGTAAGTATGTAAGAAGTCCTGCTTCCTTGCATTTCTTAAGAAAAGGAACTTTCACAGTTGCATCTAAGAATAAGACAAACATTTCAGAAGGAAAGAATCTTAGGGCAGCTAATCATAAATCACGTTATGCTTATTCAGACTTTGCCTAGTGGTGGATGAGCATACTTAGTAAAATATAGCACCTTCAACCCTTTCTATTAATTATATTTTCGTCATACCTCATTTTTTTTGGCCAGCTGAAACAATGAAAGAAATGTTACAAAGAACGATCCAAGACGGCCGATCGCTAACATCCCAGGATTGCAGCTCTCAGTGAAGGGGCGGAGAACTAGAGGACGCCACACCTTCAGACAAATTCTGGTCGCTCACGGAGCAGAAGATCCCCAGTGGAGGAAACACACGGGTCGCCAGCGCGACTCTCGTGGCCGACGCAGTGGTTTCGCCGGCACCTCGGCGCGGCAGCTCTTGGAGCAGAGTAAACAGGTTTGGAGGACCCGCACGGGCCCCCAGCACAACACCAGAGCCTGGCACAGTGGCTGTGACGGCACCTCGGCGCGGCAGCGCTCAGTGCAGAGTAAGCAGGCCCGGTTCCCCTTCTGACCGAGGTTTGGAGCCCTGGGAAGGCAGAGTCGCCTACTACAGACACAAGAAGGAAGCCAGACAGTAGAATCCTGGGAAGAAAAGCACCATTAGTTTTAATGCTGCTGCTCTGGCCCTGGGAACTAACAACCTGGACGCCCACTCAAGAGACCTAATCTGAAAGTTGGTAAATTCAGAGACGACAGGAGGATAAATTTACAATGACGGGAAGAAACCAGCGTAAAAAAGCTGAGAATACTCAAAGTCAGAACGCCTCTCCCTCTAAAGATGATCACAGTTCCACATTGACAATGGAACAAGGCTTGATGGAGAACGAGCGCATCCCAATGACAGAAGTACTCTTCAAGGAATGGATAATAACAAACTTCGGTGAGTTAAAAGAACATGTTGTAGCCCAATGTAAAGAAACTAGGAACTTTGAAAAAAGGTTTGATGAAATCCTATTGAGAATAGACAACTTAGAGAGGAGTATGAGTGAATTAATGGAACTGAAGAATACAATACAGGAACTCCGAGAAGTATGCACAGGTTTAAACACTCGAATTGTTCAAGCAGAAGAAGGGATATCAGAGGTCAAAGTCCAACTTAATGAAATAAAACGTGAAAAAAAGATTAGAGAAAAAAGGATAAAAAGGAATGAGCAAAGTCTCCAAGAAATGTGGGACTATGTGAAAAGACCAAATTTACGTTTGATAGGTGTACCTGAATGCGACGGAGAGAATGAATCCAAGCTGGAAAATACCCTTCAGGATATTATTCAGGAAAATTTTCCTAAACTAGCAAAGCAGGTCAATATTCAACCCCAGGTAATACAGAGAACACCACAAAGATATTCCTCAAGAAGAGCAACCCCAAGGCACATAATAGTTAGATTCACCAGGGTTGAAACGAAGGAGAAAATACTAAGGGCAGCCAGAGAGAAAGGTCAGGTTACCCACAAAGGCAAGCCTATCAGACTTACAGCAGATCTCTCAGCAGAAACTCTACAAGCCAGAAGACAGTGGGGGCCAATATTCAACATCCTCAAAGAACAGAACCTTCAGCCCAGAATTTCATATCCAGCCAAACTAAACTTCACAACTGAAGGAAAAATAAAATCTTTTATGAACAAGCAAGAACTCAGAGATTTTATTACCACCAGGCCTGCTTTACAAGAGCTTCTGAAAGAAGCATTACACACAGAAAGAAACAACCAGTATTAGCCCTTCTAAAAATATACCAAAAAGTAAAGAGCACCAACATAAAGAAGAATTTACACCAACGAATGGATAAAACAGCCAGTTAACATCAAATGGCAGTAACCCTAAATTTAAATCGACTAAATCCCCCAATCAATAGACACAGCCAAAACCCAACGGCATGTTACATCCAGACCTGTTTCACATGCAAGGATACACAAAGACTCAAAACAAGGGGATGGAGAAAGATTTACCAACCAAATGGAGAGCAAAAATAAATAATAAATAAATAGAAAGCAGGAGTTGCAAATCTCGTATCGGATAAAATAGATTTTAAAGCAACAAAGATACAGTGGTAAAAGGATCAATGCAACAACAAGAGCTAACAATCCTAACACCCAGATACATACAGACTTAGACTCAATGAGACAGAAAATTAATAAGGATATCAAGGACTCAGATCCGGAACAAGTAAACTTAATAAATATTTATAGAGCTCCCCACTTCAAATACACAAAATATACATTCTTGTCAATACCACATCACACCTACTCATAAGTTTAAATGAAACATTGATTGGCCATTATTAATACCCAATTTTTTTTCAGAATAACGCAATATTTCTGTTTACTCTCCCTCTTTCTCTTCCTCTTTTTTCCTCTCCTTTACTTTTTTTTTCTTTCTTTCTCTCAAAAAAATAAATCCACTTGTAAACCTCTAGATCCAGGTCGGCAATGTCTCTCTCATTGCTTGATTTCCTTCCTTCCCTTCCCTTCCTCCCTCCCTTCCCCCTTCTTCCCTTCCTTCCTTCCTCCCTACCGTCCTCCTTCCCTCCCTTCCTGCTTTCCTCCCTCCCCAAAAAAAAAAGTTACAAAAAGTGAAAATTCCTCGCTTACAATAACTGTGAATTAAGAGGATTTTTAAAACTTAAAACTGTAATTTTTAAAATTTCAATACCTTTTGGGGAACAGGTGGTTTCTGGTTACATGGGTAAGTTTTTCAGTGGTGATTTCTAAGATGCTGGTGCATCTATCACCTGAGCAGTGTACATTGTACCCAATATGTAGTTAAGAGGATTTTTAAAAAATTACCTTTAAATCTTTGACATAACAGCCCCTGTCACTTTTTTGTCACAGTTTCTATGTGTTGTTAATGAATGTCTATTTCTTTAAAGAATAGATAGGTATAGTTACAGGAGTCACAGTGTGAGGGTTGACACATCACTGGATTCTGAACTCAGGCAAGCCTGTCTGCATCTTTATTAAGAAGTCTATCTTTTCTTAATACTGAAGGCAACGGACCATTCCAACCTAAGTTATCTTGATATGCTGGGATTACAATAGAATGGATAGTTGTGATAAAGATTTATACTTATTCATTACTACGAGTCTAGAAGAATAAAGATTAAGGTGGGATACCAAGTTTGAAATGTGGGTTGACATTTTTCTAAGTACTGTAGGTCATATTTGTTACAGACAACACTTAGCACAAACCTGTGCGTTTGCCATGCTCTTCTTTCACGTGTCTTACGAATCTATTATGTGTCATTGTTTCGGGTGGCTAGGAGAGAAAATCAAGATTGCATTACATTGATTTTAATATTGCATAAAATGAAAACCAGTCTTTTGCTGTGCATAACTAAATGTTATGCCTGTGGTAAAAATCATGCCCTAGCTGGGCATGTTGGCTCACGCCTGTAATCCCAGCATTTTGGGAGGCTGAGGTGGGCGGATCACAAGGTCAGGAGCTTGAGACCAGCCTGGCCAAAATGGTGAAACTCTGTCTGTACTAAAAATACAAAAATTAGCCAGGCATGGTGGCATGTGCCTATAATCTCAACTACTCAGGAGGCTGAGGCAGGAGAATCACTTGAACCCGGGAGGCAGAGGTTGCATGAGCCAAGATCATGCCACTGCACTCCAGCCTGGGTGATAGAGACACTGTCTCAAAAAAAAATGCCCCATATTCATATGTAGATGTAAACATCAAGTATATATTTGTTTTGTATTATAAAACATCAAGAAGTCTTTGACAAGCACCCCTTATATAAATAAAAGGAGGTGAAGGCTGCCAGTTCATATGAATTTAGCTTATACATGCTGATGGTAAAAAATTTCAAATCCCCAAAATATTTTTTTCTTTTTATTTATTTATTTATTTTTGAGACAGAGTCTCGTTCCATCACCAGGTGCCAGGCTGGAGTGCAGTGGTGTGATCTTGGCTCACTGTAACCTCCTCCTCCTGGGTTCAAGCAATTCTCCTGCCTCAGCCTCCCGAGTAGTTGGGACTATAGGCATGCCCAGCTAATTTTTGTATTTTTAGTAGAGACAGGGTTTCACCATGTTGGCCAGGATGGTCTCAATCTCTTGACCTCGTGATCCGCCCGCCTCGGCCCCCAAAGTGCTGGGATTACAGGCGTGAGCCACCACGTCCAGCTCAAATCCCCAAAATATTTTCATATACCTTATGCATGATAATCCAGAAGTTTATAAGAGCCACATATTTGTTTAGGTGTGGGCCATAAAGCTGGGAAATACTTGGCTCCATAAGCATGTTCGACTGCACCCTCTGTCTGTTTTAACTGTAAGTACCTGTGGGGTCAGATGCTCTCCCTAGGGATGCTTTATAGGAGCTCAGAGAATGTCATCTCCTGAAGGTTATGTGCTTGGAACTTCCAGATTCATTTTCATGCTCATCTCATTACGATTCTATCATTTAGGAAATATCTAAGAGCTTCTCAACTATGGGATTCTTCCTAAAAAGGCAGACTCAGGAGCAGTCTTAGCTGAGAACACAAATGAAGAAGAATGTGCTACAAAGGCTGTCTATTCAGATGATTTGGAAAGCACATTTCACCTGACATTCAGACTAGTTTAAATAAGAACTCTGTATGAAGCAATGTAAAGTTATAAAAACTAAGTCAAATTACCTGTATGTGATTGACTGTGAAGTGTTTCTTCCTTCCTCTTTTTCCTTTAACTCCTGAAAATTTAGCTAAAAATATAAACCATTTAAAAATTGGAATGCATAAAGGAAAAGATTAATGTTTGACTACATGAAATTCACAACTCATATGCCAAAAGGTTTTAACAAAGTCAAAAGATATGGCAAACTTAGACCGTTTGCAGCACTTACGATAAAGGGTAATTTTTAAAAAAGATTATAAGTTTAATGCAAACAAATAATTGAGTAGAAAAATGGGCACATGGGAACTCTCTGAGCAGAGGGTTAATTGAACAGAAAAATGAACAAATTGGGTCATAGGAAAACAAACAAAATTGGCAAAAAGATATGAGAATGCATTCATAAGTGAAGATATCCAAAGGAAAACAGACTAATAAAGATAAAGATGTTTAATAGATGACGTTTGCAAGGATTTGAGTAAGTGTGTACTGCTGGTGCTTTTTTCCCTGTCAATAAACACTGATTTAAAGCAGTATTTGTAATACCATTTCCTGCTAAATTAAAAGGGTAATGACTGAAAAATGATGGTAGAGGTGCTGTTTGGAGAGTGTTGTTTATCACCAATTAATGCAGTTGGCATGATGCAATACTAAGTCTTTTCCAAAGTGGCCCCAACTCCAGTTCACAGGGAACATTTCAGATTTAGTGCTGCTAAGACACTGCTGTTCCACGCCAGTCCGCCTTAATTAGAACTGCTAACCATACACCCTTAAGGAATTTTCACTCAGAGAAGGTGCAGCACTTTTTAAATTCTTACGGAAGAGAAGCAGTCCCAAAAGTCAAAGCTTTTTCTCATGTCTTAGTTTGGTTCTGTGAGTGTAGTGAGAATGAAAGATCCAGTTTCAAAGAGAATAGGTCTTGTTCATAAAAAATTAGTCAGTTATATCATATAGTACACAAAGCAGTCAATTTTCTATATATGTAAACATTAATATTTTAATGCAGTGAGACTAGTATAGACTATTCCTTATGTTACCTAAATGTTTACCTTTCTTTAAAACCCACAGTGCTAAATTTTAGAAACTTACCACTTTGAGTGATGATCGGGAATTGAGCATGTTGTTGGCAAAACAGTCTGAAATATTTAATTTCAAAGAATTGTAAAATATTTTTATTTACAGTTTTCAAGTATCATACCTATTTTTGTGATTAAAAATGTACTAAACTATTTTTCATGATGGCAGCACACTAAAGTTTTTTTTTTTAAGCTGTTTAAACCTGTGTAAAGTTAGTGACCCACACTGAGTGCAGATGGAGGCTCAGTTAGATGTCTTTATGTCCTCAGGGTCTTAGGAAGATGATTATGTTCTTTCAAGGAATAAATGCTGATGAAGTATTACAAACAATACTAGTTCATATACAGTGGTCAGTGGGATTTTTACTGTATAAAGATACCTAAAGATCCACAATCTGACTATACAAGATTCTGCTGGTTTTGAACAACAAACAGCACAAAATTGCATGCATTAATTTGAGGAAAAAGCAGTTTTCAATGAAAACAGGTATCTACCCCAGATCTTAGATTTTGCCTACAAAGGGCCTAGAACTGATTGGTATCTTCCAAGAGAAAGCAGCAGCAGAGCAGGCTACGATGAAGAAATGAAGTGAATCATTTTATAGAGCTGCTCAGGCCAGTTTCTTTCTAATCTTTCCTCCTCCTCAGCACCCAGCTTCATTTCCCTTCCTCTCCAGATGGTGTTGACTCTCAGGAAGCAGTGGCCTCCTCGCCTAGGGGAATGCCTTTTCTTTCCATCTTACACCAGTTCCCACCTCTTCCATGCAGTCTTCCCAGCAACACCCAAAGTTAATCTTCTCCCACTTTGGATTCTGGTTTCTCTAAGCACTTTCACTTGCCAAGTACTTCTATTTTTTTCAAACAGTGTTGAAAATATTAGGATGAACCCCATGCCCCTATCCATTCCCAGTGTCAACAATTAACTAAGTCAAGCTTTTTTTTTTTTTTTTTTTTTTTTTGCTGAGATGGAGTCTGACTCAGTCACCAGGCTGGAGTGCAGTGGCCTGATCTCGGCTCACTGCAATCTCCGCCTCCCAGGTTCAAGCGATTTTCCTGCCTCAGTCTCTTGAGGAAGCTGGGACTATAGGCGCACACCACCATGCCTGGCTAATTTTTTGCATTTTTAGTAGAGATGGGGTTTTACCATGTTGGCCAGGATGGTCTTGATCTCCTGACCTCGTGATCTGCCCACCTTGGCCTCCCAAAGTGCTGGGGTTACAGGCGTTAACCACTGTGCCCAGCCCTAAGCTCCTTCATGTAAACGCCCTCCTGCTCTCGTTATTCCATGTGCTTCTGTTTGCATTGACCTTTCTTCTGGCCTTCCCACCAGGTGATAACTTCTCTGAGGTTCGATCTATATTTTATTCCACTTTGTATTTCATAGCACCTAGAAAGGTGCCTTGTGTATGCTAGGCATGAAGGTTTAAATTCAGTTTAAAATGCATAGAAATTCACCTGTTCCTTGATAAAACAATGCAAGAAGACTATTTTATTGAGTCCCTAATTATTAGTTCTTCTAATGGGTGTGATCGGATACAGCCGGGACTTCCTTCCTTTTTGTTTGCTCTTATGTTTAAGGTCATTATAAAGGTCATATTAAAATGAGCTCTTTGGGAAGGTAAATAATAAAAATGAGACTCAGTATAACCATCTGTGAGTGTCTTAGCAAATCAAATATAAAAAGAAGGTGCAGTGCAAAATTTACACATTTACACATTTCTTTCCATGTCCGATTAGCAACAAAATACTTATGGAACTTGCTCAGAATCAGATTTAAAATTATTTAGCAAGCTTCTTTCAATGGTAGGCTTGTCCTCTTGGTTTAGAATATATAGCTCCCATACCTGAAGACAACATGGTGGCGAAGAGCAAGGACTCGGAAGTCCTGTAGCCCAGCTCTGCCACTGACCAGCTGTGTGACCTGGGGACAAGTCACTGAGTGTCCCAAGGTCCCAGTTTCCTCCTCTGGAAAATGGAGATAATAGTATCTACCTCAGTTGATTGTTCTGAGGATTAAATGAGTTAACATTTGTAAAGCACTTAGAACTATGCCTGGCACAAAGTAAGTGGTTATTAAATAAACAAAATAGTGCCTGGAACACTATGGGAAAAATTGGGAATATATGCCCACTGGCAGGCAAAAGATCAGCCTCTGAATGAAATTTTTAAAAATCTTAAAAAATATAACGTAGCTTACAAAAATATTTGAAAAAAAATCATGCTTTCCTAACACTGATCTCATTATTCAAGATATTATGATTAAAATAACATATTTCATTGAAATTTAAAATTCAAGTGGAATCTAAGCACGTGCCCCTAAGAAGTGAGAAATGTCAGTCTGGCTCTTCAACTTCAGACCCTCTTTTTATTCCATTTCATAGCTTTAAGAGGGCTAAAACTCTTTCCAAGATAGTTTGCTCCATCACCTTTGTATGACATATCTTAGGCTACATCTACCAACCAAAAAGAGTGATGCCATCGAACACTATCTGAATCCATTCACTTACCAACTGGATTACTGATTTCTTCTGACCCAATTATACACTTATTTAACTGAACGAAATCTTTTCTCAGAAGGAAGACCAAGGATAAAGCAAATATAATTCCACTGGACTTGAAGTCTGCCTTATTGGGTCCAAATTAATATTAAAGAATTGTTGGAAGAAATGGACAAAAATTTAAAACCCAAAGGCAATATAAACAGGATGTTTCTTTAAGGACTTAATGATCAATTAGTGTATTTGCTACATCATTTCTTTATTGCATTTACTAGTTATTTTTAGGCAAGATGATGCTGGTGACAAGTAGCTATCAACTGGTATGATGGTAGAAAATTACATTTATTCCACACACAAGATAGAGGGATAAGCCGGTGAACCTGTGGCTATAGAAGTATGGCCCTTTTCCTGTTTGCAGAAAAGAACAGGTTTGAATGCCATCCCTACCACCATGACAATGCTTTCTATCAGGAAGAAGAGGGTTCAGGGAAATTTCTCTTTTTTAGAAAACCAAAACCAACCCTCCCCCCTGCTCCCCCGCCCACCAAACAAACTTTGTTTTCTTCCTGTGATGTTTATGTTGTGAAGTCATGTACCCCTGGGCATCCCCCAAACTGGCTATGTTCTCATTTGAAAACCATTTACATAAAATTAGTTTTAAAAGTCTCCTTGTCTTAATCCAACCATTCCTTATCCCAGTCCCCCAAAGGTGGTTTTAAAAATGTTTTATTAAATACTTATAAATTCCTCGAGCTCCATCAGACTTTGGAACTGCATGGTCCTTCTTGGCACAGAAAAAGTGGTAATTCTTGTTACAGGCTTTTAAATCACATCCCACGGTGGCTCCTCTTTTACGACAAAATGTGCATTTCTACAGAAGAATAGATTTTACTAAGTACTTGTTATTTGTTAAAATTCAAAGATATCATTAAATGTTATTTAAGTTCCAGGAGCCCTGCATTTTATCCTGGGCATCATCAGCAAGATTCCATCCTGTTACACCAGGGAGAGTACTTAACATTTGGCTGTTCATTTGGGAATTTCAGCAAAACCTCAGCTAACCGGAATGCTTAGACAGACAGTTTTGTAATGATCTGATTAAAAGCAGAAAATGTTTTTTGTTTAAAAAAAACAACCAAAACTCTCATTTGAAAAGGATTTTCAAAAAAGCAGAGCTGGCAAATTAGGGACACTGAGACAGGCAAGAGTAGCCACCAGCTGTGCCACTAAGAGTGGTGTGATTTCTCTTTCAGACTCAGACCCTTCCCCGGGTGATAATATCTGTCTTACAAAGTTGCTCTTGAGAATAATGTGAGATAAAGCAAGGGAAACCTCCTTGGAATCTAGGTAGTAGGGCCAAATATTTTTTAAAATGCTACAACTTGGAGTATTAACAGTTTTTTCTTAGTTCAATTTATTTGATACCCAGCTTATATTTATCTGGTATTTTATATGTGAGAGTGGTGTCATGATGGCTAGGCAGTGTGTGGCCACAGCAGCCTGTTTGAGGGGAATCCAGCCAGGACCAAGGCTGATCTGTGTCACACTCTGGCTGAATGACACGGGGGCATGCTGAAACTGCCTTACAAAACAGGAGGTCACTCATGCCCAGGATCGGCACAAGCAAGCACAGAAGCAGTTAAAGGAAATTCAAATATAGGCAAGAAATTAGGTTATAAAGGTGGAATTTCAAATCAGAGATTACAAGGATAATCATTTAATTTGGGAGGAGGGTAACTGGCTGTGTATATAGAAAAAAATAAAGTTAAATCCCTCTCAAAATATACTCCTGAATATAAGTTGCACATGGATTAAAGACCTAACTAGATAATGTTAAACAAAAAACACTTAAAGATTAGGAAATAAAGGAGAAAGAGAAAAGCATGGCATGGAGGCAAGGAAGGCTGTCTAAGGCAGGAAGAAAACCCAGAAGTCACAAATGAAAACTTTGACAGGCTGGGTGTGGTGGCCCATGCCTGTAATCCTAGTACTTCAGGAGGCTGAAGCAGGAGGATTGCTTGAGCCCAGGAGTTCAAGACAAGCCTGGGTAATACAGTGAGACCTCATCTCTAAAAAAAAAAAAAATTAAAATTGGCCGGGCATACTGACACACTTAGTCCTGTAGTCCCAGCTATTTGAGAGGCTGAAGCCAGAAGATGCCGTGGGCCCAGGAAATCAAGACTGCAGTGAGCGGTGACTGCACCACTGCACTCCAGCCTGGGTGACAGAGGGAGAATTGGTTTCCAAAAAAAATGACCGCCTACTATACAAACATTTTAAACTTCCATTTTTATAGTGAGAGCATTAAACTATTTAAGACAAGGAAAAGATTGAAAGAAAAATGTTTGCAGCATATTAGATAAAGTACTAAGATTCTTATAACCTGCAGAAAAATGGTAACTGGCAAATTACAGAAGAAAAAATACAGGTGGCTAATAAACATTTATTCATTTAAAAATACATGAGTATACAGATGGCCAGTGCTGTTGGAGCAGCGAGGTGGGCACGGGAAAGTCTCAGGGATGATCACAGGGGTAAGTAAGGGCTAGATCATGTGGGGCTTACATGCCAGAGTAAGGAGTTGGGTTTTATCTTTGTGCAAGGGGAACATAACCTGATTAACATTTTTGAAAGATCATTCAGGCTGCTGGGCTGCTGCTGGGTGGAGAACTATGAGCTGGGATAGGGATGGCAGGAGAGACAGTAGAGCAAGTATCAGTACTCACTCAGAGAACAAGATCAGTGACTTCACTATGGTGGATTACTGACATTGAATGAAGTGGGCAGATGGATGCAAGATGCATCTAGGCGTTAATGCCCATGGGCTTGATGTTGGGCTGGGAGGTTGATGAGGAAAAGAGAGTCCTTAGACTTCTGGCGTGGGCAAATGGATAATGACAGTGCTGGGATGAAGAATGGGATGAAGAATGAGCAGATTTAGATGGAGAGAGAGAGAGTGTGTGTGTGTGTGTGTGTGTGTAAGGACTGTGTACTTTTTCAGCCACTTTACTCTGACATATTATTGTGGTCATCTGAATCCTAGGTAGGAGCCTGCTTGCTGAGAGCCCTTGCTGCTTGCCCTTAAGGCACTTGCCCAGCTGTACTGAAACCACCACAGCACTGGCCTGTCCCTCCCATGGGTGTGTGCCGTGTATCTGCCCACATATTCCAAGGGTTCCATAAATGCTGTGAGTGGGTAACTATTACCTGAGTTGACTTTTCTCTCTTCCGTCCTTTATCCTCCACTTCCAACCCATCCCAAAGCCTTCCCAGTAGGGAAGTCTGCATTCCAAGGTCTGCAGAATCCCTCAGGTACTTGCTTCCCTCCAAATATTAGTGACTCCAGTCAACTGTCCTCATTTCTTAGCCTGTGTCTTTTCATATCTGGATGACCACTACAATTTCACAGAGCTTTCTTTAACTCAATTTCTCCCCACTCAAATCCAGTTAGTGAAGAGCAACAAAAATATTTCACTTGAGATTTGTCTGCTACTTTCTAATCAGAGAGGCTCCCTGTTCACCCATCTCATCACACCTGAAATCCTAGGGATGCAGCACTGTCAGCAGTAATGATGTCAGTGGCCAGTCTTGCCAAGTATTAATTAGTATAGCATAGATATTGAGAGCAGGATCCACATACTTTTTTTTTTTTTTTTTAAATTTGAGTCTCCCTCTGTTGCCCAGGCTGGAGTACAGTGGCGTGATTATAGCTCACCACAGCCTCAACTTTCCAGGCTGAACAATCCTCCCACCTCAGCCTCCCAAGTAGCTGCAGCTACAGGTATATGCCACTGTGCTGAGCTAATTATTTTTCTTTTTTGGTAAAGACAGGGTCCCACTATGTTGGTCTCAAACTCCTGGGCTCAAGCTATCCTTCTGCGTTGGCTTCCCAAAGTGCTGGGATTACAGGCATGCACCACCATGCCCAGCCCACACACACTCCATTTTTATGACTTGCTTCAGGGCTTCCTACAGTATTGTGTACACGGCCTAAGAGAGCATAATTTTCAGAATTGCATCAGGACTGTTCCCTTTCACTCTAAACTTTCCATTTCTTCAATTTACAAAATGGGCACAATTTTACCTATAGCTGGGAGTTCACCTAGAGCAATATATGCAACATACCTAATGGAGGATGCTACTGATGTCGATGCCTTGCAGGCCTAAATAAATGTTTTTCCCCAGGCATTAACCTTGTGGTTGTAGTAAGTGCGAGGTGATCACACTTGCTGTCCTGCTTGTTAAGATATGCAGAGTCCTTGAGAGGAAGTTGCTGCAGTAAGCCCTGTGGGATGACTTATCAGCATTTTTTCCTTCCTAGATAGCCCCTTATGACCCATGGGGAGCTGACCTCGCTCCCAGTGTAGACCCTGATTTGTTATGGACACACCCAGCAGCTGGTGCAGAAAGAGGGGAGCATCCTAATTAAACTTTCAGAAGGGCTTTTATTCCATGTGTAGGGATGACCTTTCTCTCACTGGATATGAATAAGAAAGCTTGATGCTCCAGTTGCTGCCTGTGGCCACTCTATAACCAAAAGGAGACCAGCTGATTTGGGGGACAGGAGACCAGAGAAGAAGAACCTGAGCCCCTAATGACATTTCAAGCCACTGAATAAATCAACTTGGAAAGCAGATGTTTTCTCTGATCGAGTGAAAAAATAAGTATCTTCTTTGTAAAAGTCCGTTTCGGCCGGGCGCGGTGGCTAATGCCTGTAATCCCAGCACTTTGGGAGGCTGAGGCGGGTGGATCACGAGGTCAAGAGATCGAGACCATCCTGGTCAACATGGTGAAACCCCGTCTCTTCTAAAAATACAAAAAAATTAGCTGGGCATGGTGGCGTGTGCCTGTAATCCCGACTACTCAGGAGGCTGAGGCAGGAGAATTGCCTGAACCCGAAAGGCGGAGGTTGCGGTGAGCTGAGATCGTGCCATTGCACTCCAGCCTGGGTAACGAGCAAAACTCCGTCTCAAAAAAAAAAAAAAAAAAAAAGTCCCGTGGCCGTGCTTGGTGGCTCATGCCTGTAATCCCAGCACTTTGGGAGGCCGAGGCGGGTGGATCACGAGATCAAGACCATCTTGGTCAACATGGTGAAACCCCGTCTCTACTAAAATTTTTGTATTTCGTAAAAATACAAAAAATTAGCTGGGCATGGTGGCGCGTGCCTGTAATCCCAGCTACTTAGGAGGCTGAGGCAGGAGAATTGCCTGAACTCAGGAGGCGGAGGTTGCGGTGAGCCGAGATCGCGCCATTGCACTCCAGCCCGGGTAACAAGAGCGAAACTCCGTCTCAAAAAAAAAAAAAAAAAAAAAGTCCGTTTCTTCTACTTTCTTACTTTCTACTTACTTTCTTCTACCTACAGCAAAAGCATTCTAACTCAGATCTACTTTATTGGTAAAGTATATGGTAGTTTATTTTAAAATATTAAATGTTGGCCGGGTGTGGTAACTCACCTGTAATCCCATCACTCTGGGAAGCCAAGGCAAGTGGATCACCTGAGGTCAGGAGTTCGAGACCAGCTTGGCCAACATGGTGAAACCCCGTCTCTACTAAAAATACAAAAGTTAGCTAGGCATGGTGCCCCATGCCTGTAATCCCAGCTCCTCGAGAGGCTGAGGCAGGAGAATCACTTGAACCCAGGAGGCGGAGGTTGCAGTAAGCTAAGATTGCATCACTGTACTCTAGCCTGGTCAACAAGAGTAAAACTCGGTCTCAAAAAAATTCAATGTTAGGTTGAATCGAGCTTTCCAATATAGGTCCTACTTCTTTCAGCTCTCCAACATGGTTCTCTATCCCTGGTTTATCAGTCAAATAGACTTCCTTTGGAATGCCTCCCCTGAGGGTCTGTTCATCTAGTATATGAAATAACATCATTTACACTTACCAACTTCCTTCCTCTCTGGATTTCTTTCTTTACCGATTCCACATCAAAATTTCTATCAAGATTAAGTGGATCATGATCCTCACATTCCACAAGTCCTGAAGAATACAGCTGCAGATTGGAAAAAAAAATCCAGAGTAGGCACAAAGTAATATTGGAAGTGACATGTCAGAAAATCATACCAAAAGTAGAAAATCAAACCAGGAGCGGAAAATGGACTGGGGGTAAAACAGTGGCAACTTTGGGGGTGGATGAGCAAACCATAAGCGATCCCACACTGGGAATGACTCTAGTTTCCATGCATGTTTTATACTCTGGAATCCTGACCTCTAATAACTCATTGGACCTGGGTAGAACCCTGATGCCAAGGTAGGTCAATCTGATCCCCTATCCTAAAAGTGTAGAATGGGCTTCAAGCAATAGCTGAAGTCATGTGGTCAGAACAAGTTAGTCTGCAAAGAAAGAAAAACAAGGGCTAGAAAGAGGACATTCTAGGTTCCCAATGGCTTTCTACCTCTGTTTCTTACACCGACCTGCATGCCTGCCTTTAGGAAACATGAAAAGCCCCCAAAACCTTATTACAAACCCCCTTTTATGTGTAGGTAGCTTAAGTCTTTATGTGCTACTTGAAACCAGAAGAATCCAAATCTTCTGAATTGAAGATCAGTGTTTCACGTATCATACTCAAATAACAAACAGGCATGAAAAACATAAGAGTAAATTTTGGTGACATTGGCATAGGCAAAGATCTTATAAAAAGCAGAAACCACAAAGAAAAATTACGTTGGATTCCATCAAAATAAAAATTGTCTTTGAAAGACATTGCTAAGAAAACAAAAAGGCAAGCCAGAGACTGGGAGAAATTATTCACAATACATTATTTCTGCCAAAGACTTGTATCCAGAGGGATTGCTGTCAAGATGGCTGAATAGGAACAGCCCCAGTCTGCAGTACCCAGCAAGATTGATGCAGAAGGTGAGTGATTTCTGCATTTCCAACTGAGGTACCCGGTTCATCTCATTGGGACTGGTCGGACAGTAGGTGCAGCCTACAGAGGGTGAGCCAAAGCAGGATAGGGTGGTGCCTCACCCAGGAAATGCAAGGGGTCATGGAACTCCCTTTCCTAGCCAAGAGAAGCCATTAGGGACTGCACCATGACAAACAGTGCACTCTGGCCCAGATACTGTGCTTTTCCCACGGTCTTCACAACCCACAGACAAGGAGGTTCCCTCCTGTGCCTACGACACCAAGACCCTGGGTTTCAAGCACAAAACTGGGTGGCCATTTGGGTGATACTGAGCTAGTTTCAGGAGTTTTTTGTTTGTTTTTTGAGATGGAGTCTTGCTCTGTCACCCACGCTGGAGTACAATGGCATGATCTCTGCTCACCGCAACCTCCATCTCCTGGGTTCAAGCAGTTCTGCTGCCTCAGCCTCCAGAGTAGCTGGGATTACAGGCATGCACCACCATGCCCAGCTAATTTTTTTTTTTTTTTTTGTATTTTTAGTAGAGATGGGGTTTTACCATGTTGGCCAGGCTGGTCTTGAACTGCTGACCTTGTGATCTGCCTATCTTGGCCTCCCAAAGTGCTGGGATTATAGGCATAAGCCACTGCACCCAGCCAGTTTTTTTTTCCTACCTCAGTGGTGCCTGGAACGCCAGCTAAATAGAACTGTTCACTCCCCCAGAAAGGGAGCAGAAGCCAGGGAGCCAAGTGGTCTGGCTTGGTGGGTCCCACCCCCACGGAGCCCAGCAAGCTAAGATCCACTGGCTTGAAATTCTTGCTAGGAGCACAGCAGTCTGAGCTTGACCTGGGAGGCTTGAGCTTGGTGAGGGGAGAGGCATCCGCCATTGCTGAAGCTTAAGTATGCGGTTTTACCCTCACAGTGTAAACAAAGCCTCCTAGAAGATCAAACTGGGTGGAACCCACTGCAGCTCAGCAAGGCCGCTATGGCCTGACTGCCTCCTCTCTGGGCAGAGCATCTCAAAAAAAAAAAAAAAAAAAAAAAAAAAAAAGGCAAAAAGGCAGCAGTCCCAGTCAGGGGCTTATAGATGAAACCCCCATCTCCCTGGGGCAGAGCACCTGGGGGAAGGGGCAGCTATGGGCATAGCTTCAGCAGACTTAACTGTCCCACCCTGGTGGCTCTGAAAAGAGCAGCGGATCTCCCAGCACAGCACTTGAGCTCTGCTAAGGGTCAGACTGCTTCCTCAAGTGGGTCCCTGACCCCTCTGATTGGGAGATAACTCCCAGTAGGGGCCAACAGACACCTCATACAGGAGAGCTCTGGCTGGCATCTGGTGGGTGCCCCTATGAGACGAAGCTTCCAGAGGAAGGAACAAGCAGCAATCTTTGCTATTCTGCAGCCTCTGCTGGTGATACTCAGGCAAACAGGGTCTGGAGTGGACCCCCAGCAAACTCCAGCAGACCTGCAGCAGAGGGGCCTGTTAGAAGGAAAACTAACAAAAGGAATAGCATCAACATCAACAAAAAGGACATTCACACAAAAACCCCATCCAAAGGTCACTAACCTCAAAGACCAATGTAGATAAATCCATGAAGAGGAGGAAAAACCAGCTCAGAAAGACTGAAAATTCCAAAACCCAGAACACCTTTTCTCCTCCAAAAGATCATAACTCCTCACGAGCAAGGGAACAAAACTGGATAGAGAGTTTGACAAACTGATGGAAGTAGGATTCAGGTGGGTAATAACAAACTTCTCCAAGCTAAAGGAGCATGTGCTAACCCAATTCAAGAAAGCTAAGAACATTGAAAAAAGGTTAGATGAATTGCTAACTAGAATAACCAGTTTAGAGAAAAACATAAATGACCTGATAGAGCTGAAAAACACAGCACAAGGACTTCATGAAGCATACACAAGTATCAATAGCTGAATCCATCAAGTAGAAGAAAGGATATCAGAGATTGAAGATCAACTCAATGAAATAAAGCAAGAAGATGAGATTAGAGAAAAAACGAATAAAAAGGAAAGAACAAAGTCTCCAAGAAATAGGGGACTATGTGAAAAGACCAAATCTACATTTGATTGGTGTACCTGAGAGTGACGGGAAGAATGGAATCAAGTTGGAAGACACTCTTCAGAATATTATCCAGGAGAACTTCCCCAACCTAGCAAGACACACCAACATTCAAATTCAAGAAATACATAGAACACCAAAAAGATACTCCTTGAGAAGAGCAACCCCAAGACACATAATCATCAGATTTACCAAGGTTGAAATGAAGGAAAAACTGTTAAGGGCAGCCAGAGAAAAACGGGTTACACACTAAGGGAAGCCCATGAGACAAACAGTGGATCTCTCTGCAGAAACCCTATAAGCCAGAAGAGAGTGAGGGCCAATATTCAACATTCTTAAAGAATTTTCAACCCAGAATTTCATATCCAGCCAAACAAATACAAATCAGATCCCACAGAAATACAAACTACCATCATAGAATACTATAAACACCTTTACGCAAATAAACTAGAAAATCAAGAAGAAATTGATAAGTTTCATAAGTTAAGGGAAAATAAAATCCTTTACACACAAGCAAACACTGAGAGATTTTGTCACCACTAGGCCTGCCTTACAAGAGCTCCTGAAGGAAGCACTGAACATGGAATGGAACAACTGGTACCAGCCACTGCAAAAACGTACCAAATTGTGAAGACCATCAACACTATGAAGAAACTTTATCAACTAATGGGCAAAATAACCAGCTAGCATCATAATGACATGATCAAATTCACACATAAAATATTAACCTTAAAAGTAAATGGGCTAAAGGCCCCAGTAAAGACACAGACTGGCAACTTGGATAGAGTCAAGACCCATCATCAGTGTGCTGTATTCAGGAGACCCATCTCACATGCAAAGACACACATAGGCTCAAAATAAAGGGATGGAGGAATATTTACCAAGCAAATGGAAAGAAAGAAAAAAGGCAAGGTTTGCAATCCTAATCTCTGATAAAACGGACTTTAAACCAACAAAGATCAAAAGAGACAAATATGGGTATTACATAAAGGGATCAGCGTGACAAGAAGAGCTAACTATCCTAAATATATATGCACCCAATACAGGAGCACCCGGATTCATAAAGCAAGTTCTTAGAGACCTACAGAGAGACTTAGACTCCCACACAATAATAGTGGGAGATGTTAACACCCCACTGTCAATATTAGACAGATCAATGAGACAGAAAATTAACAAGGATATTCAGGACTTGAACTTGGCTCTGGACCAAGAGGACCTAATAGACATCTACAGAACTCTCCACCCCAAATCAGCAGAATATACATTCTTCTCAGTACCACATCACACTTATTCTAAAACTGACCACATAATTGGAAATAAAATATGCCTCAGCAAATGCAAAAGAACGAAATCATAACAGACTCTCAGACCACAGTGCAATCAAATTAGAACTCTGGATTAAGAAACACTCAAAACCACAAAACTACATGGAAACTGAACTACCTGCTCCTGAATGAGTGCTGGGTAAATACTGAATTGAAGTCAGAAATAAAGAAGTTCTTTGAACCCAATGAGAACAAAGACACAATGTATCAGAATCTCTGGGACACATTTAAAGCCTATCTAGAGGGAACTTTACAGCACTAAGTGCTTACAAGAGAAAGCAGGAAAGATCTAAAATTGACACCCAAACATCACAATTAAAAAAACTAGAGAAGCAAGAACAAACAAATTCAAAAGCTAGCAGAAGAGAAGAAATAACTAAGAGCAGAACTGAAGGAGACAGAGACACAAAAAACCCTTCCAAAAAAAAAAAAAAAAATGAATCCAGGAGCTGGTTTTTCAAAAAGATCAACAAAATAGATAGGTAGCTAGACTAATAAAGAATAAGAGAGAGAAGAATCAAATAAATGCAATAAAAAATGATAAAGGGGATATCACCACTGATCCCACAGAAATACAAACTACCATCAGAGAATACTATGAACACCTCTATGCAAATAAACTAGAAAATCAAGAAGAAATGGATTAATTCTTGGTCACAGACACCCCCTCCCCAAGACTAAATCAGGAAGAAGTTGAATCGTGAATAGACAATAACAAGTTCTGAAACTGAGGCAGCAATTAATAGCCTAC